CCAAATTGCTAGAAACAAGAGAAAACCGTGCCAATCAAGAAAGGGCGGGCCCCCAGTGCAGAGTGAGGAAGACAGCAGACCAGACACCTAGGCAGCCTGAAGCCAGCAATGACCATCAACACTAACAACTCAAAGAGGGAAAAGAGTTAACAGCCACAAATGATAGAAAATAGCTCTCAAAAATTAAGACAAATTTCTTCTCAGTAATCAGAGCTGTGGGGATTCACACCAGCTAATCATACGAGAATAACTATGAAAAAAATTCTTCAGGCAAATACAATAACAGATGGAACCTGAACCTACCAAAGTAACAATGAATGCCTGAAACAGCAACACAACGCCAATGCAAGAACATTTCCTCAGTTCGCAGTCACTTTTAAAAAATAACTTTAAAAACGGCGCTTGATTAGACATAGAAGTGAAATGCATGACAAAGAGAAGAAAAGATACGGTGGGTAAGCAGTGAGGTCAGTCATTAGACGTCTATATTATGTATGAAATGCTTCTGTGAGAAGCCTGTGCTGTGCTAAAGCTATGAACCCTACAGTGACCACTAGGAAGCAAAGCAGAATTACACTAATAATGAGCAGTGGGATACAGGTCGACACCATCTTCTCACAGTGAAGTGTGACAACAGTACAGCAGGGCAGGGTGCAAACGCTGGCTCCTCCCTCATGCACGGACCTGCTGCTCGACTTACTAACCCTAAAAATACCACAGCGATCCTAACTGCCTTCCAAAACAATAGCCAGTTATATTAAGAAGAGTGAGTGTTCCTAACAATGACTAAGACCTTGCTTTCTGATAGTTTCTCCTAAGTCAACCCATCCTTCCACGTACAATACACTGTGTTCTTGCCTCCGTGAGGTTCTCATCCCCAGCACTAGGCTAGGCTGTCTGTTGTGGGGGTGGATCTGTTGTACACTGGAAGCTAGCAGCACCTACCCAGCTGTGAAACCAGCTCTCCCAAAGTCATCAAAGGTACCTGATGGAGCAAAGCTAACTTAGCACTTGAGATGATGGTGCTTTGTACTGCAATTAAATGCACACAAGGTCTACACCCTGGGTTAATGCTAAGTACTAGCAACATCCAACTGCCATTCCCTAAGTGTCTAAGTAACAGTGACTAAAGATAAAACAGCAGAAAACCTTGCACTCAAGAGTCCACTTACACTTCAAGGCCAGGCCTTAGTTATCTGTCTACATCCCTCAAAGGCCTTTTCAAAAACAAGACCTTTATTTACTGAACTGAAAAAACTGTAAGATAAGGAAGATACCAAGCACATGAAACCAAGGGACACATGCTAACAAGTGACATCATCCAGTGAAGAGCAGGGTTACCTGGGCAAGAACTGTTTGAAGTTAACCCACATTTGTTTTCTTAAACAGTCATAGGAAAATGTCATTGATCTTTCAACCACATTCCAGGTTTGGCCTCTCTTCTAAAGAATGTCTGAGCCCAGCCAGTCATTGGTATTTCAAGTATCAGCATGGGCCTCATTGACAGATACTAAGTACAAACCGTTTGTTACCGACGTCACACGCCCTACAGCAACCGGAAATACAACTTCAAAAAGAAAATACACAAACTAAAACCTTCGGAGTTACTGTCAGTGTGACCATAATATAATGACCATTAAGTCGGGTTCTTAAGATATGCATAACCCTCTACAAGATTATTTCTAAACAAAACCATGTTAAAATGTTAACCTGGATTCTAACAGGACATTAGTGAAAAGCACCGATATAGTAAGACTCTGCCCCAGGCTGCCCAAAGCAAAAATATGTAAATGAGAGGAACACTATCTCAAAACCCCCCCCCAAAAAAATGTGACTGGATCTGTTCTGCAAAAGGTGTGGTGCTTGGCTCATAGGAGAAATCCTGAAAGCCTACACAGATACACAGAGACTATTCACTGATAGGATATATAAAGAATAATTAAAAAGAAAGTGTGAAACTGGAAGATGATGCTTTACATAACTAAGGTACTATCCAAAAAGCAACTAATAAAACAGGGCTAGTTAATGTCAAGCCTGGAAATGTTATGCTAAGTCACCTATATATCCAGAGTTTAAACCTGATCAAGCGAGTAGGAGGTAAGATTAACCAAGAATCTAAAGGAATCATTTAATGGTTCTGGGCAGGTAAAAAAGGAAAAAAATGAGGAACTAAAATTATGTGGAATCCAAAACACGGACGTAAGAAATTTTTAAGAAATAGTTAAAGACCCAATATGTTCTAAGACTGAGGAGGAAAATGATACTCTCACCTGTGAACACATCAGAAGCCCGGTGCAGTCAGCAGCAGACACTAGCCATCATACTCCTGCAAAGTACCTGCCATTTGCTTCGCACATGAGAATCCACACTTCTCAAGTTATCATTATGCCCACCATACAAAGTGTTTTAAAGTCACCTGTCCAACCTTACAAACAGGAGAATCTGTCCTGCAAAGGGACCACTGAATCCAGCTACATCCCTACCTCGCTAAGTGCAATGCAGTGCTTGAGGGAAGAACTCAAACTTGCAGATACTACAGTACACCAAAAGTACCTATCACTTCCTCCTGGTCTACAGGCCTTCCCTGTCTTAAAGATCCTGGTGTAGCAGTCTGAAAAGTAAGTCCTAAAAACTACCAGGCATGTCTCCCCCACTATCCATTTCATCTTACTACCCCACCCCACAACCAACTTGACTGGAAGTGGAAAGCTGACCACGCATCCTCTCTATATAGAAACATTTAGAACTGACACATGAAGTCTGTTAGAAACCATGATGCAAAGTCAAGGTGGGTCTCATGGGTACACTGCCAAACCAGGGACACAAAACCCAACAAGTTTCAAGAGAAGGACAGTGTTTAACAAACTCAATAGGGCATAAAGCTAGCAGTAAAGAACTAAGAAAAAATTCTTTTGAGGTTCATCCTGAAGACTTTCTGGTCCCCTGGCCACTCACTAACCTGGAATCACAAACTGGCCTTAGAGGCAATGCTCCAACAGTATGACAAATGCCTTTTGCTTGCTTGTTTGTTTGTTTGTTTGTTTCTGTTTTTCGAGACAGGGTTTCTCTGTATTGTTTTGGAGCCTGTCCTGGAACTCACTCGGTAGACCAGGCTGGGTCTCGAACTCACAGAGATCCACCTGCCTCTGCCTCCCGAGTGCTGGGACTAAAGGCATGCTAATTCAAATGGCTTTCTGATTCTTGCAGCCAAATAATCCTCAAGCCATTAAGGAAAGTCAAAGAAAAAACACTAAGTAAGCAGTGGCTAATACAAAATTGCTAAGATGTCATGTCCAGTCAACAATCCATACATTCCAAATGCTTAACTCCAGGAAGTTCTTTTAAATTAATTTCTTTCTGTCAGGATGAGCAGAAAAAGGAAATTCATGGATCTGCTCCACTGTAAAGCACTCTCCTCTGTGCCATCAGTGCCAGTCTGGATACCCTCAACTAACTAGCTAGGCTCTTAAGAGTTTCCTGGTCTGTCTCAGGCAGTGGTTGAATTTTTTTGTTTTTGTTTTGTTTGTTTGCTTTGCTACTTGGGTGGGTCACTTCACAAAAAGAAAACAACAGTCCACATAAGTAATTACTCCATTCAAAGTTAGTCCAATTGCTTCTCATCAAACACAAGACAAAGCAACCACTGCCCTAAAAGTTTGAAACCCTGGCCACAAGGTCAGAAAGAGTAGCAACAGTTTTTCTCTTTGCCAAGATGAATGGGAGAGAACTTTTTGTTATCTCCTTGGCCAATTCACCTAAGTTTTTCCTATCTTCCTGCGTGGCTAAAACTCCCCACTTGTAACTGGAAACTTCCCTTTACACAACCTGCTACACTATGATTTGAACCTGCAGAGTTCCTTTCCCAGATATTCAATCTCTGGAATTAAACTAATAAAACCTACCATCCTTTCTCCGGGAGGATTTCTTCGGCTTCTAGACTTAGCCCTGGAATGCAGAGGCTAGAAAGGGCTAGAAAATCTCTCACTATAGTTGTGGAGTTTTGACTGCAGTATATCCAACAACCAAGAAAAACCACTGGCCAGGGTGTATACTGCAAATTCCTTCTCAGATCAGCTAAGCAATTTTGTGGCCATCTACATCAGTCACAGCTCGAGCGAGAACCCACTTCTTCCCCAATTTCCTAACATCCCTTTACTTCTCCTAAGTCAGTCACTGACAGCAGAAATCACTGTTAAATTCACTGTCAACCCATGGTTCACAGTTCTTCCTGAAGAACACACTCAGTATGAATAAGCAGGATAGTCCTTGAAAAGTGCTCACGTATTTTGAAAGATTAGGTGGCACTATTTGAAATGGCATCAGTCGTAGCAGGCACTGGGCTGCCATTTACAAAATTAAAAATTAAAAAAAAAAAGCTTAGGCATGAAAACGAAATCATCTTTGCATAAACACTCCATCTTCCCATCTTTCCTGAACACTCTGTTTTCAGTATCTTCATACATAACAAATTTGAGTATCGACATGAATAACACTGCTAACAAGGTGGGAAGACGCAAAGGAAACTGAGTAATTACAAAGCTAAAAAGAACTGCGAATATTAATTCCAGTATGCGCCAAGGCCATTAGCGGTGTGTCTCAGCAGTATTGCTCACCACGAAATGCCTTAATGCCTAACGCTAAGCCACCTCCAACTGATAGATAGGTTTAGTAAGAAGGTAAGCAGAGAGAACGGACTGTCACCAAGCCCTACCAGGGGTCTAGACTGTACTGTCACTGCGGTTTAGCCAGACCATTTTCTATGTGATAGCGCAGTCCGGTTGCTGGGTCAGCCTGGGGGCGACGTGACAGCGATGCAAACCGGGGCACCTGAAGTTTGGGCAGCGCCGGGACCCCGGCTCAGGCGCTGTCAGGGAAGGATGCTGCAGCGGACAAAGTGCACCGTCCTCCTCCCGCCCGCGACCCACGCAGCGAGGCCACAGCGCCCGGCCGCAGTCTGGACCCGGCCCGCTGGCTCCCCGCTCCTCGCCCCGCTCGCTCACCCGGAGGCGCAGCCTCTCAGCTCCCGGGCATGACACCCGCCCGTCACGGCCCGCAACGCCCGGTGGCGCGAGCCGCAGCGCAGCGGCGCCTCCCTCGCCCGCCCCGGCCCGAGACGCCGCCGCCGCCGCCCCCCCCACGCCGCCCACTCACTCTCGCGAGAGCAATCGCACCTCTCGCGAGAACGACCCGGTGGCCGAGCCCGCGCAAAAGGAACGGGGGGGGGGGTTAAAAAAAAAAAAACCACGTGCTCTAGAGGGCAAAGCTGCGGGCCGCATATCACGTGACACCGAGGTGCCCTTTCCATTGGCCAGGCGCCCCTCGGCCCGTGGGAGCATCCAACGCGAAGCTGACCTACGAACTCTCCGCTGACGTCTTGCGCGCTTCCTGGTCCGTTGCCTTGGAAACGGCTTAACCCTTTCCTGCGGCAAAGCTCTCTTGCCTCAGACCGTGAGCCTTGGGTCGCCCCGCCTCCCCGGAGCTGGTTTCCCGCAGCTGCTCCCCACTGTGTCAGAGGTCCACGCCCAATCCGCCCTTCCGAGTGGCTCTTCCCAGCATCTCCAGGGAAAACCACCCGTCATGCACCAGGCCTCGGGCCCTACCTGAACCTCCAGTCAGTCCAAGGGGAGCGCTCACCCCGTGTGCCATCGAAAGTGGGAAATGAGGCCCTGATCTCCAAGAAGCCCAGCTTCAGATAATGAGCTATGTGACTCTGGTTTAAGTGGGAAGAACCTAGAGCGTCAAGTTGCGTGGCCTCCTCAAGGACATTTTGAAGTGTACCCTCCTTCTTTTGATTTGTTTTGTCCTCTTCAGAGGAGAGGGATGAGAAAGAAAGGATGCATTCCTACAGTCCTTCTCTCCCAAAACTTTTGGCTATTTTCCTGCACGTTTTAGGCATTATTCCAGATTGTCTACTGAACATATCCGTAGGTGTTAACATGCAAATCATCCTGATCCGAAGATGGTTACAACTGAGCCTCTACTCAGGGGTGCCCTTGGGGGAGGAAAGACCCAAACAGTGCTTTGGGTAAACAGCCCTACAAGAATGTGAGGAAAGAGCATCTCTAGCAAAAATAGGGCTACTTCACCGCCCGAAACTGGCACCGAATCTAGCATATTTGAATGGCAGGAAATAAAACTGGAAGGAAAACAGAGGCTGCATTAGGGAATTGGGAATCTAGTCTACAGTGACAAGCGTTGAAGACTTGCAAAAAGAGGAAACACCAACAATTAACTAAATAAAGCAGTAAGTGCTTCCCTGTAGCTAGTGAATTTTAAGGAAGTCAAAGCAGAAGCAAGGAGTCTTGTACAAGTGAGAAACAACTGCAAGACTCAAAGTGACCTTGACATTCTACAAAATCTATTAAATCAGAGCTCTAGTGCTGTCTCCTTCCTTCAGCTAAGCTATGTAGATTTCTCCTGCCTAGTAGGAACCAATGGAGGCTTTTGCTTTTCTGTTTTGGTTTTGGTTTTCTGCCTTGGTTTTAACTGCTTGAGAAAATGAGTGGCCAGAAAGGGCTCTCGTCCTTGGTTATCTGCCCCCATTTTCACTACACAGGAACCTGCACATTTAAGTTAGTTCTAAAACATGGGATACAAAGTCATGTTCCTTACGGCTATTTATTAGAGTAAGATGTGAAAAGGTAGAAGTTGGAGGCTGAAAACTAAAGACGGTTTCATAAAAAGAAATCGGGAAGTCTTCCAGTGTGGAACCCTCCCACTAACTATAGACATAACCAAATTCAAGGCTTTATGATTCCAAGTCTCAACTCGCTGGTACGTAAAACAAGGCAATCGGCTCTCCCCACAAGGTGGTTAGGACGGAATGCCATGTGCACTGGCAGAGGAAGCTGGAAAGGGAAGTGAACTTTGATGAAAGATGGAAGAGTCAGCAGGTGCCCAAGCCAAATGAAACAGGATGCTCACACGCCAGCTGAGAACGCTTAACTCACTGAGGCAGACACCGGGGATGCTTGCCTGAGAAACGCTGGCCTCGGCGTGTGAAACGGGAGTTCTGCCACCTGTCCAACCTCATGGCCCCTTTCTCTGGAACCATTGTGAGTCTGTGTAGTATCCGAAACATCAAATGTGCCTGGGAACAAATGGCAAGTAGCATTTTAAAGGTCTGAGGCAACTATTTGAAGGCTAGCTCCTTAGTTTTAATACAATTTCTTACAATCTTACGTGCATTAGTGTTTTGCTTGCATGTGCGTCTGTAGGAAGGTGTCGGATCCTCTGGAACTGGAGTTACAGACAATTGTGAGCTGTCATGTGGGTGCTGGGAATTGAACTTGGGTCCTCCAGAAGAGCAACCAGTGCTCTTAATCACTGAGCCATCTCTCTAGCCCCCTAACAAAAAGATTTAAAGTTACTTTTTAAGAATGGGAAAATGTGTCAGAAATACTATTTTAACAAGACTACTTAAAAATTCCCCCACTTCCTCAAATAAGGCCGCTTCAAAGGCTGATTTCAAGTGCTTTTTGAAATGTTTGCAGCTCTCATAATGATTAATTGAAACAGATGCTTGGTGTTGCTAATTTAGATGAGCAGAGGGCTCAACTCTGCCATCCTAACATATTAACAGGATCATAAATCATCCTGACTTACTCTAGCAGGGAAGTGGTTGTTGGCCCTTGTGCTAGCTGTTTGGAGTGCTATGGGTGTACAGTAAAATTTAAGGTCTCCTGCAGTGTTCCTAGTTCTTAGATTCTTTTACAATACCCCCCATGCACACACTGAGTTTTACTCCAATATAATTTGCATGCCATGCAATCTCATGTTCTCTGTCTATTCACAGAACTGTGCAGCTATCACTATAACCTAATTTTAAAAATAACTTTGCTCTCCCATTTTTAAAAAACTGCCTATTGCCAACCAGTAATTCCCTATTTCACCCTCAGCCCTAAGCAATCAATAATAGTCCTTGTTTCTACAAACTTGCCTAACCTGGGCACTTAATAATAATTAAATGGTATATGGCCTTTTATGTCTCAATTTATCCACTTAGTACATTATTTTCAAGGGTCATCCATGGTGTGATGTATCAGTTTTTCATTTCTTTTTATTAACAGATGATGATTCTATTCTGTGCCTATTGCATATTTTATTGATCATTGTATTAGTTGATAGACATGTAGGTTGCTTTCACTTTGGGCTATTAAGAACAGTGTGCATGAACATTTAACCACACATTTTGTGATGGGTGTTGCTTCCCATTAAAAAATATGTAACACATTACAGGGCTGAAGAGATGGCTAAGCAGTTAGAGCAATGACTGATCTTCCAGAGAACCTAGATTAGTTTCCCAGGACCCACATGACAGCTTACACAACTGTCCATGACTCCAGTTCCACGGGACCCAGTGCCCCCTTCTGACTTCTGTGGGCACTGCATACACCTGGTGGACCTTCATGGAGGCAGTGAAGACACCTACGTAACAAGTAAATCTTGCTAGGGTTATAAAACATGTAAGTTTATCTAGTTTACAAAGTCCTTACTTCCAGTCCAAGCACACTTTCTTTGTTCTTATGGCTTTTCTTTTTTTAGTCTACTCTGTTGAGCATGTTTAGTCTATTCACAGAAATATTTGTTCTCAGGCCATTTACATCCTCATCTACGACTGCCCAGAATCCATGGGGTTGCAGCTCTGCTGTGTCATTTTTTCAGGAACTCCTGTCCTAAGTCCCTGCGTGAAGTGCAGCCCCTTTAGTGAGGACTCTGCCTTCTCTCTGAAGTATTTGTCACACATAACGATTTTCACTTGTGTGATTATATTTAACCAATGCCTGTCTCTTCCATTAGACCAAAAGATCAGAGCAGAAACTACATTTCTTAGCAGTGACTGGCACACAGCTCCTAATAGGGAGGAAGAGAGGAAGTGGGGAGAAAAAAAAGAGTTCTCTTCCAAGACTCTTCTAGGTTCTTTTTCTCTTGACTTAGAAGAAACCATCATTGAAGACCGGGTAAAAATTACAATCTAAACTTGCGCTGGACTAAGGGCAACTAATGCTAAGGACTGCTGTGGGCCTGTTCTGATGCAAAGAAGAACCCAAGTGTCCCAACCCCACAGGAAAGGAGTGAGAAGGAGGCCACAAGACAGCAGGCTGCTAAGTTATGCAACCCAGTCTATGTCTAAGGACACCTAGGAAACCATCAGAGAAACCCTCTCATGGCCCTGGAAAATGTGTATTTCTTTGTTTATTATAGCCCAGGAATTGAACTGAGGGCCTCAGGAGAACCAGGCAAGCAATCTAACACTGGGCTATGGCCATTCCCAACCCTGTTCTTACTTTCTATTCTGAGACAGTCACCCTAAATTTACTCACTCTGTAATCCAGGCAAGCCCTGAGCTTGGGATCATCAGACCTCAGGCTCCTAAGTAGTTGGGATTAAAGGTCAGGTCTGGCACCCCAGGGATATTGTAATGAACTAAGACTTTAATAGTTAAATTGGTAGTGTCTCCTCCATTACTTGTAATGAATGCAAACGGTGCTTTCCCTTGTAGACATGGTCCAGTGGAGCCAAGATACTTGGGTGATATGCACGTAAAAGGGTTATGGCCCAGCAGCACTGAATAGTCTGTTTTTTATCACATCCGGCACTAAATGTCATAGTTCATGCTAAAATCAACTAGTCTGGTCTGGGCCTGCCTTTCAGGGGAACTGAGCACACTAACACAAAGCTGACTGCTGACTTAATCCCCCAGTGCCATTCTGACTACAAAGGAAGGCAGCCTCTTCCCCTAGAGGCTTTGGAGCTTTACACCAGCAACCTCAGACAGCCAAAGCAGATTCCATGTCGCTTCCTGTTTGAAAACTTGACTCTCCCCTTGGCTGAGTGGCTGGATTCCTCCCTGAGCCATCCTGTATGAGTGATGGACCCAGCTGTCAGTTCACTCACAAAAACATGTCAAGTCCTCATACACATCCTTCAGCTATCATATTTGGCTTTTGTTTTGCTTTGTTTGATGGGTATAAGTTAACACATACTCATTGTGGTGAAAATTCAAGAAAGGATGTGAAACCCTCTTCTATTGTGGTTGCTTTGCATGCATTATTACTTGATAGCAAACCCATGTAAGACTTCTGTAAATTGAAAGATAAAAACTATACAAAGT